TAGCAACTCAGTAAAATATAACAACAATAAAAAAATAAGACCAAGCTGGTCAACATGCATACATACTATGACATAAGTAATACAGTGAGAAAACTCAACTTGCAGATAACAACTAAGAACAACAACTCTCACAAAAATATAGATTGGTACTATGAGGCACCTAACAACAAGAAGGAAGTACCCTCTCAGTCTACACCCGAAAAGCCTTAAATTGACGAAAAGTCCATCATCGTCAAAGTCAACATAAATTGATAGTCTCGTCCTGGCCACCCATTGGTCACGTCATGCAAACGTAGAGACAAAACAGTCACGAAGCTATCCGTCGCAACATCGTAACAATTAACCCATCACGTCGTGGGAACCGTTTGGGTTAACCAGAAAATTAAGTCTCAGGATTTTTAGGCGTTCTGATTGGCCTATAAAATTTTAGAAGTTGAAGGGTAAAACTTGGAAAGATTGATCATAATAGTCTTTATATCACTTTTGGTGTTCCATTAAGGAAATTATGGTTAAGTTTTAGCATAAGAACTTTTGACATAATAATTGGTTACATATGAGGTTTCCAAGGTTTATTGATCATCTTTACTGAAAGTCTTAATGCCTGACTTAATGGAAATACAAAATTAACGTTGAACCACAAATTATAAACCTCTACATATTTTAGGGTTAAGCTTCCATCTTAATCCGTTAAACACTTTACGTCACCAAAACAAAAAAATGACACCTTTTATAGAACTACCAATTATTGGTGGTCTATTGGTGGTTTTGGTGTGGTCAATGGTGGTCAAACCACCAAGAATAGAAAGTGCAATGCTATATACGAAATAGAAAGAAAAAGGACCAATACTTGATTATTTTCATAGATATTCAACTATAATCTATTCATCAAAAAAAGGAACCCACAACCACAACTTGCTAGTGTTCTGTAGTGGTAGGTAGAGGCACCCCTACCACCCCTGCCGGTAGGAGGCTGTCGACGGTGGTTCAATGGTTGTTAAGTGTGGAAACCCTCAGTTACCTTCCAAAATACAATGAAAAAATGAACTAAGAAAAAGGAAAACTAATTTCTTGGACACAGTCTCATCTCACATACACACACACACACACCCAGACAACCATCTCACGGTCGTGGGTGGTGAAAGAAATCATGCAGGTGGCAAGAGGCTGCCGGTGGTGGCGGTAGGGTAGCGCATGGCGTGGAAAACAAAGAAGAAGAAGAAGAAGAAGAAGAAGAAGAAAAATAAAACATCGATACCTTAAGATGAAGAAATATTTTTCTCTCGTGATTCTCCTGTTCCTCCTCCCTTTAATGATGACATCAATCTTCCGACAGCTTTCCTTCCAACCTGATGCTGTCTTCATTTTTTTTCCTCTTTTTTCTCCCACTCCTTATTCCGCATGATTCTAGAATGGACGATACCATGGACTAGATCCCTTAAGCTAATAATTCTTGACATAAACAATTTTTAAAATTTAACACTTTCTTTCCAATAATTACAGTTTCTGCCCTCAGGACACAACTCTTAACATAAACATATTTTAAATGTTAACACTTTCTACCCTTTAGCTAAACAATCGTTGTAATTATTATTATTATTATTATTATTATTATTTATTTCTATTTATTTATTTTATCACTTAAAATTTATTGAATCTGTTTTGATCACCAATAAAATTGCATAGAATTGCTACCCTTAATTATATAATTAATTATTGAATTAACACTCAATTCCTGAATCACTAATAAGAAATAGGGCATTACAACTTTCCCCCATGTAATAAAAATTCTGAAAATTACCGATCCTTTAAAATATCTTACACGCGAACTAGAAATTCAAGACACATCTCTCCACGGCTCATTATACTAAAAGGTCTAATCAAACTTCTTTTCTTGTATATTGACTTTTACTTGTGATAAATCTTACCATTATTTATTTGTACTTAAACACATTACTATAGTCATCTTTATCCTACTAAATTTATTAGGCTAAGCACAATACATTACCAATTAGTGATTTCTCATACGATTAGTTGTTTGATGCCCTCAAGAGTGTCACTCAGGTTATCTTGATCATTAACTTGTTTTAACTCTGATCGCTCAGATTAATTTGTACTTTCCTTTTTAAAAGAGTAACTGACTTATTCTTCCTGAAATATAGAGATACTTCGTTTTCATCTATAATACATATTTTAAAACTGTGTGATAATATTGACCCATTATAATAATTTAAGTTTACATAGAAATTTAATTGACCCAGCTACATTAAGGTCCAAGACACATGATCACAACATGTCGTCTGGAACATTGTACTACACCTCCATCTACCTAAAAGCAATATACTACGTGAATCACCATATATCACTTCGATCGTTATGGAAATTCTACCCAAAAGCATCACATTAACTAAAAAATGGCAACTTATTTTGAAATACCACCTTCCATGAAAAACTGTCTGTTAGCCTTCCTGTAAGAACCTCTCTCATATTCTCATGAAGTGAGCATTAGCAATCAATTTAAATACTTTACTAGTAGAGTATTTTATTACATAAGGTTTCTAGTCAACCATTATGATTACATATTTGGCTACAAGCCCTTACTTCAAAATAAATGTTCATATCAACTGTTGTCCACTGTGACTCATCTTATTAGTTTGATTTACATTACTTTTGGTGTCTATAAATAAATAAATAAATAAATAAATATTATTTTCGGAACTTGAATTAACTAATAAAAAATAGAAAAAACAAAAAATAAATAAATAAATAAATAAAAAAACATTTTTTTTTGAAAAATAAGTGAAATATTCTAATACAATATTACCCTAACATATTCTAAAAAATAATTTTAAAATACAGAATAAATGGAAAAATCTAAAAATTCTTTTTTTAAATATTATTTTCGAAACTTGAATTAACTAAAAAAAATAAAAATAAATTCCATTTTTTTTTAAAATACATGAAATATTCTAATAAAATATTACACTCACATATTCTAAAAAATAATTTTAAAATGCAAAATAAATGGAAAAATCCAAAAATTCTTTTTTTAAATATTATTTTCGGAACTTGAATTAACTAAAAAGAATTAAAAAAAAATAACAAAAAAATAATAAAATGCGTCTCATGGTCTCACAAAATTAGGTTGTGATATATATATATATATATATATATATATATATATATATATATATATATATATATATATATATATATATATATATATATATCATTCTCAATTACAACTGTTTTAGATGTTTTGTTCCGGGTTTTGGTTTATGGTTTCGTAACCGAAATCCGATTTTAAATGAATTTAATTGCTACTCGGTATGGTTTCGATCCATCAATTTCATGTAATTCAATCTTAGAATGTTAGGTTATCGGTCTGGTTCAACTCGGATCCCTTTAATATATAGTAAAATAATGGAAAAATTAAAAGGTACATTGTAATTATCTATAAGGACCAAAATGTAATTTTTACTAAATTTGGTAGATTCAAAATCGTTTGAGAAGGATATAATTAAATTTATGGACAATTAGAAAATAATATCAATACCCTTTCATATATAGTAAAATAATAGAAAAAATTAAATGGTGTATGCTAATGTAAAGTAAATATCTATGATGACCAAAATGTATTGTTTACTAAATTTGTAGATGCCAGTGATTCAAAATTGATTGAGGGATGATTAGATCAAATATAGGACGATCCAAACAATTTTAATTCTCTTTTTCGGCTCCAAAATCGTTTTAGGGTTTAGAAAAGATCGCAAACAAAATTCAAGAATGTGTTTAGTCTCCAAAATCAAGCGGGAAGTCTTCATCTTTCTCACCGCCAAAACAATATAAAATCGATTCGAGAAAAGTAATGTCGAGATATTAGGTATCCTCCTTGACATTGGGAACTGATTATTTTCATCTCTATAAACAAGATTGATTTATTCAATCACTTTTATCGTCTTCCCTAGTGTCAAAGCAAATCGGCTACAAGGGTTGTTCTACCGATATTTGTTCTTTATTCAATTGTAAGTCTCAACGAATGCTAACTTTAATCTTTTGTTTTTGTATGCTTAAAAATATTACTGACATAGTTTTATGCCATTTCGGAAATTAGTTTTTGAACACAAGTTGTGCTTGTTGCACACCAATTGTTTGATGAAAAGCCTAAATCAAAATTTTATATTAAATATCATTGTATGGTATCTTATTCCTTAATGACATACTAATATAACTTGTATGGAAGGAGAAAACACATTGATTGAAGATGTGCCTATATTGGAAATGGAGGAGGACCAATATGATGGATCTGATCTAGATGATTCAGAACATGGTGACCGATGATCTAGATTACACTTAGAGTGATTCTGATAGCAACACAAAGACGACAAATAAAACAAGGAAGAGGAGCTTCACTCGATTGCCAAAGTTACTGACCGAACATACAAATTTGGAAGGTTTGCAGGGTAGTATAGATCACAACTACCTAGTTATCTGGGAGACCTAGTACGGGAAAGGGTAGGAGTTAGTGTTTTTAACTAGAAGAAGGTAACAAAAGAAGTTACCGAAAAACTATGGGAAGAGATAACGGTAAATAATGTTTTTTTATATGTAGCACATATGTTATTGTTATTCTCCAATGCAATTTCATTCATGATTCAACGCCTAACATATTAGTTATTCGTATTTTAGCGTTATTTTGAAATTGAAGATAGTCGAAGAAAATATATAATGAATCGGTTTGCTATCCTTCTATGGAATTTTAGAAGAAAATTGTGAGCAAAGTACATAAAGCGCAATTTAGAGAATACTACCAAGCTTAAAAGAATTCCTAAACGTTATTGTACAATAATCCTTAGCCAAGATCATTAGGACAAGTTCGTTAAACACACACAGTCTGAACAATTCAATGTTAAATTCCTTTTTTTTTCATTATCACTTTTATTTTATAGTTTCTGAAAATAAAAAATACTTATAAGATCCGTGAATTTATTTTTTGGAAGCATATGTCGACAAAGATGATAGAAGCGTGTTCTAAGTCGGATCATAATCAACGGATGGGACGGGGAGGATATACGGCTTTAAGAGAGAAACGGGTAAGTTCTATATTTTATTTAATTATGTATGTCTATATGTGTTTATTAGTCAAAACTGTGAAAGTGGAACTACCAATTAGAGCATTATGTCACCAATGGAGTAATTAAAAAGTATGAACAATTTTAACGCCAAGCGTATTTTGGGAAAAGTTTCCTTATTTTATGTTTTGGTATTTGTTTAAATTTTGTTTTTCTAGTGGATGTATTTAATTATGTTTCTTTCATGTTTACTATAAATAGGAGTAATATCTTAATTGATTTTTAATTGAAGTTCATGTTTAATAAGTTTGATAAATTTTGTTTTGTCCCCTATTCTTTTACATCACCTGATCACGTATTCGTATGAAGTTTTGAAGAACAAAGACCTGCAATTGTTCTATTTGTGCATCCGGTTTTAGTTTCTCTTGAAAGACCCGGTGAACAAGTCAATTTTTTAGAAGTTTTTCTGTCATTTATTCGTCAATTCCTCTCCCCTATTTTCTGTCATGTTGCTATCAAAAAGTCTAATACCAAAAAGAACATTTCAAGTATACTCTTCTTTCCTAAATTATATGGATTTTAAATAATACCCTTATATTTATTAGGTTTTTACAAATTTGATACAAAATTTTTTTTATTACACTACATTTAAAGACAATATAATAAGAATATTTGACAATAATAACCAAAATAAATTATTTTTACGTAATTAAATTCGATGTAGTTATCATATTAACAAAATTAGCATTTTATCACATAGAAAAGAAATTAACATCAATTTTGGAGTTTTTCATATAATAAACTAAAAATACATAATATTATATAAGGATAATACATAAAGACATGAAGTTATCAATAATAATAATAATAAGTCAATGATGAAATGTCATCCCGATCATTAATGTGGTGTAAAAGGAGGCGTCTCTATCTTTCTGAATAACTACATACTTTACAATAGAACACATAAACATATTGTTATTGGATTCTATAATTAATATATATATATATATATATATATATATATATATATATATATATATATATATATATCGTGACTTTTACGAGTTGATAACTATGATTACTAGGTAAATAATAAAGTACATGCCAAAGATGAAATGCCACCCCGGTCATTAATGTGGTGTAAAGGATGTGAAAACAAAGCACGCGAAATAGAATATGTTAATGTAAAACTCATGGCAGAAAACTAGTAAGTTATTGAAACTTTCTCCTTTGTTGTTGGACGATGTTAGAAATGTGACTTGTTAAATAAATATTGACGATGTTAGTTTGATATCATTTTATGTATAGGTGGAACATGAAAAACAAATTAAAGATGCAGAGGTGAAACTTGATCCTGGGATGGATGCCATGTCACTAGCCTTTGGCAAGGATAATGGTGGATTCTTAAAAGGGGTTGGCACATGTGTGACTACTAGTAGATATTTCAATATTCCTATAACCAAAGGATCTTCAAAAGAACAAATTGTGGACCTAAAGTTTGAACTACAGAATGAGAGACTAGAGCTTCAGAAAAAAGATGAAGAACTTAAATCGTTCTCGACAAAGGTGAAAGAACAAGATAAAACACTAGAGATAGTTTTAGCTCATCTTGAATCACAAGGAAAAATGATACCAAATCTAACATCTCATCCAAATCAGTCTCCAACACAAGTAAGTGAATTGTTATTGTTTTTGCAAAAATGCATTTATTGCATAAATTGACCTTTTTCCTTCAATTTTGTAGGTATTTTCAGTGGACAAGAATGTTCAATCTCATGTCACTCCTATTACTAATACTATCACAGAGAAAGCACATATCACAGATAAAGCATTGACAAATGAACCAGTTACACGAGTAAGTAATTATTTGACAAATTCATTGATTTTAATATTTTTTTGTAGTACTTTGTAAGTAATTATTTGAAAATTTCATTGATTTTAATATTTTTGTAGTATTTTCTGATTTAAATATATTATAAAATTATTGTTTTCTAGGTAATGACAAAAACCAAGAAAATAATTGTTGAATCTAAGAGTGTGACTACAAATTCACATCCAAAAACAAAAGATACTCATTCACCAAAACTCTCATAGGTATGTATTTTAAAATGAAAATATAAATATATGTTTATTCTTTTTTATGGTACGGTTTACATCTCTTTAGAAAGACAAGTCATTCATGGAGTTCCACTTCAAGACAACTGCTATAAAATATCAATTGATGAAGTGATAAAGGGAGATGCATTTTTACCATATCAAAACGGTGATATCAAAACAGTTGAGGAGGCACATCAAACTTTTGTTGCATGGCCAAAATACCTTGTCAAATGTGATGAAAAGGTTTGTTTCTTCTATTAACTACTTTATGCGTTAAACTTTTTTCCTTTGGAAACTAGTCTTTTAAATTATTAGTTATTCAAGTTTGGTTCAATGTTGCTACAAATACCACATATGAGATCAAGTCAAAATGATAATGTAAAAGCTCCAAGAAGCAAAAAACAGTTTTATAACAAGACTAAACAAATCTAATTTTTGGTTTATGTATTTTTTTCCTTTCTTTAGCATATTTAAGTAAACTTGTTTTTGATGAGAATTGTTATTGAGAATTTAGAAAAGTAAAGATAGATTTGAATGATTTAAGATGAAGAACACCGAGAGTAAATATTAATCAGATCTTATATTGATAAAGTCTGATTACAAAGTTAAGCAGAAGTGAGTTCAAGCATCGTTCTACAACTTCTAGCCTAAGTCCCTATTTATAGGGAACAAACAAAAAGTATACTAAGTCTATACATTATAACTTCGCACAAAAGATGACTTAGTAAAATAACACAAAACGCGAAACTATACAAAACACTCTATTCGACTTTTACAATATACATCAACATTCTCCCCCTTTGTAAACAATCGATACAATTCAACTCATAAGCTTTTGAATTGCAGAGTGAATTGCCTTTCGCACCTCTCCATACCAGGAGATCCTTCTTGTCTCCTTCGTTGTTTTTCTTGCAATTTTTCATATGTACAATGAAGTGCGTATATTGCGAAGAATTATATCTTTCAATCTCTGAGACCTTGAACAAAAATTTCTTCGGATTACCTATTGTGTCACTGCCTGAAAATACCATACCAAATGGTTTTAAGCAGATTTCTCCAACAGCATACTTTGACAAAGTAGATTGTGTCAAAGTCTCCTCCCATGGAACTATCACTTCCCTTCCCACAACATGTGCTAATTCATCATCAGTAAGGGCTAGACAATCGAAGTAATTGTCTATGAAAGTCTTTACATGTGCGAAGCCAGCTTTGAACACATCTGTATCAGAGCCTTTGAGATTGTTTTCTTCCATATGCTTCAAAATTAGTGCTACTTGAATCAAGTCATTGCAATTCATCAAAGGAAAGTCAGCAACTGTGAAGTCATATTGTTTGTTGTCAGCTCTGATAACAAAGTATCTGAAATTCTATATCATCTCTTCAAACATAATATCTTTCTTTATCATCACAACCTTCTTGATCTTCATTAACGACCAAACTTCATCAGGATTCTTCCCCAAGACAGCATGAAATCTGATTTTCATTTGAGTATAATCATTCGGATTATCAAATTTCTCACTGATCTTGTATTGTGCATTGATGAATAGCATTTCATTAATAGGGAAGTCCAACTGGCAGTGATCTGAGTTCGCAATATCATAACTTCTCTTCGGCTTTTTCTCGAACTCATACATCTCCCTACACACAACTTTTGACTCTATGGTTTCATAAGAGTAAAGTTTTGCAGGATCTCCTTTGTTCATGGAGGGAGGATCACTTGCCTGTTGCCTCATAATGCTTTGGACTTGCCTCATCTTCTCCATCTCAGCCTCAGCCTCTGCTTTCAACTCTTCTTTTGATTTTTCATATAAAATTCCTTTTCCTCTTCCTACAACATCATGTTGGGGCTTTGAGCTTGAACCACCTTTATTTCTTCCAATAACAATACCCTTGGTAATTGTTCTTGTGGTGATTGTTGTTGCAGAATTGGTTTTGAAGGAATTGGAAGAGTAGCAATAAGCTGAGTCGATATCACTTTTCCCACAGTTTTCGCATCCTCTTCTTTGCTTCGTCTTTCTTCTCCCCCTTGCACCCCTGTGGAAACAGGAGGAGCACCCTTTGGAAGTAAAGAAGTGAAATTTGTGAGTGGAGTAAGGGCTTTGTGAATAGCTTGTTCTAAAGTATTAATCTTTAGAGACAAAATTCTGGAGTAAGAATTTGAGAGGAGGAAGAATGCGAAAGGGCTGTTTTTAGATCAGTGACCAACTGGATGAGCTGATAAAATTTCATCATGATTTCTGCTTTGTGATCGGCAAGAATAGGAATATTATGCAGCTTTTGAAGCTGAGAAGAAATATCTACAATTTGCTGTTGAACTGCGTCTTGTTTGTTGTGGACATCGTGAAGATCCTTCGCAAGTTCAGACTTCAACTCCTGAATTTTGAAGTTGACGTCTTCACGAAACTTTTTAACGTCTTGTACAAAAATAACATGACGTTCTTTTGTAACTGCGCGAAGATCTTGAACTACAGAACTAAAATTATTGCCTTGAGACATAATTCTGAGCTCATTGTTTTTATCAGACTGAGCAATTTTCTCCATTATTCGTTTTTCTGCTCCTTTAATCATGATATCAACCTCCATGGCAGATATTGATGACATTCGACCTAAATCTGCCTGTGATTGAATAATGGTCTTCAACTTTTGATTCAATATTTTAAACTGTTTTCCTGTCATCAGCATATGATCAGGAATATCTTCTTCATCTGAATCAAAAGGAATATCATCAAGTATCCCCCCAAAGGCACCTCCTTCGACTTCTGGATCTGACATTGGTTGCGAAGGTTGAGGATTTTCAGGTGATTGCGAAGGGAAAAGTGTGGTGAAAGGGTTTTGTAGAGCATGGTCAAAAATATTTGAAGTGGTAGATAAAGTGGTAATAGGTAATGAAATGGGTAAGGTTGTTTAAATGGATTGTGCAACACTCATGATAGGTGCCCCCGTATCAGATACGTTGACATCCATATCAGAAATAGGAACCTCCTCAGTAACTGATTTGGTAAGAACTATTTTGAGTGGTTTGGTTTGGGAGATAGTGGTAGAAATTTGTGAAGTGGGAATGATAGATAAAGAAATAGGTACCATTGTAGTGACAGGTGGAGTTTCTGGGACAATCTCTTCTTCAGATGATTCATTGCGAATCACCATCCTCCTTCTCTTTACCATTGTACGTTGCATATTTTTCGCAACGTCTTCAGCTCTTTGTCGCTTCGTTGTGGGAGATACTGGGGCTGGAATATTGCGAATAGTAACACCTTTACTACTCACTTCTGCTTTACGAATATGCTTTAGTACCCCAGACATGGAAGGTAAGAGTTCCTTCTTCGACATCTTTGAAGGTTCCTCAGTTGGGATGACTTCAGCTGGTACTGATGATGATGAACCCTTCACAAGTTTCTTGCTAGCCTTCTTTGTTTTAGATGGAGTTGCAACATCTAATAAAACTCCAGTTGGCTCATCTGTATCAACAGTTCGCAAATATCTCACCAAAATTTTATGGGTGGGAGAAACTTTGCGAAGCATCGCGTCTGGAATTCGAGCCACATGTGTAAAGATCGCTTCATCATCTTCTACAGCTTTGGGAAATTGATAAAAAGAAAATTCAGCAACTTCAACATTTGACAGCATCAGAATTTCTTCTTTCTCATACACGTGTTCAAGAATCAAACTCCAGTAGCTTGCACACGAAATGCCCTTCTCTGAATTTGTATGTTCTAAACTTTTGACAAATTCCTTCCACAGTTGTGTTGCGTAATCAACATTAATGTCATAGTATATGCCCATCACCATGGCATATACTTCCATTCTTCCTCTATCCAACCCAACTACTCTGCCTGTAAGACATCGGAGAAAGATTCCAAAAAGAAAATTCCACATACACGGCAACCCAGATTTTCTGAAATCACTGATTTTTGTTAACTCGGGTTGATGCCCCATATTGTTAAACATATGAATAACCTGGGAGTTGACAGGTTTGATAAAGGGAGGGTTGTTTGGAATTTGTAGAATTTCCACAAACAAGTTCTTCGATAGTTTAACTCGTTTGTTGTTGATGAGATTGAAAGTAATCACATCCGTTGTGTGATTGTATGAAGACGTGGAAGCGACACGTGATAACCATACCATGGGAACCGGAGATGAACTGAACATTGCAGTTGCTAAAGAAGAATGTTTCAGAGCAACAATTAGCATCTTTAACCCTTCTGGATAAGCAGAAACTTTAGGATCAACTTGGTAGTTAGTGCTTTGAATCTTCATCAGAGACTGAGAAAGAACCTCATTAGTGTTGGAAGTAGTGGCCGCCATTGTTAAGGTTTGGAAAAAGAAAGTTGAAGGTTGGATCAAGGTTGAATCTTGGAAGTGTTTGTGAGAGTTCTTGTTTGCGTAACCGTAACCAGTGTTCTTTAACCCCCTTTTATAGGTTGCTCAAAATTGATTTGAAATTGAAGCAGGATACATTTAATGTTATCCGACGTGGCACCTAGAAAAGTCGGATCATGACTGCAAAAGGTAACAACATTCCAAAAAGTAACTATCACATCTCCTTGAAAACCGTACAAAATACCAACGATTTTGAGTATACAGCCTGTCAATTATCCGTTATAGAATAGTAACCGGTAAAACCCTTCGCATGGAAGCAAGGCTCATTCACTTTTTGGATTTAAAGTGAATTCATATGCCAGACTTGCGAAATCATCAGTCTGAGTTGGTTGTACTCAGAACCTCAAGGATTTCATGTGTGCATTGTGCCAAACAAAATAAGATAAGAAACAAAGATATTTGGAATGTGAGGATGTCAACAATTCAATTTGACATGAATGCAGTAAAACCCCGGGCAGAGGTTACTTCGTTAATTATCAAGAGAGATAATCAACTGCTTGTATAGTGTCCCGTGAATTACAATCGAATACTTATAGAAAAGTATCGAAGGGCTTCTTTTTAAAAGTCATTTTGGATTGGTTTGAAATTTCATTACATATCAACCTTAACATAAGGTA